AAATCACCTGCTAAACTGTTGCTCAAAATATGAAGATGACTCTGAGATTAGATCTCAAAAAACGGATTATTCTCCAAATCAAAGAAACTATGTAATTTTTTTACTAATTTTGTTTCCTAAATCTAAATTTTGAAAAAAAGGCAAAATTTTTTTGTAAGGATGACAAGACTTAGTTGGAGTTGATGACAAGCTAATTTATGCAAATTTTTAAAATCAAATATACTTTAAGCAAGACTGCTTGTATATCAAAGCGGATCACTGATTGTTCCCACTCTACTTTATGGCCAATTTAAAAAAACTTACAATCGTATCGGAAAAAAAAACTTAAAACTTGTTTTTCAGTTCATTTCCTTCTCGGCAAGGTTAATTACAATGGCTTATATCTAACGCCTCGTATTCTAATAAAAAGACCACTTCTTTTTGAAACGCATTAATTTGCCGCTTACGTGCGTTATAAGGACGGAATAAATTGCGCGCTTTTAATCTCAAATTGGCCAAGTTAGCTATTTTCAAACCATCATAACCTCACAAAAATTTATCATAGGTGATTTTTTTTAAATGTGTTCAAAACAACAATATCTTCCAGATGGTAAAAATCAGTCGGAAACGCTTTGTTAAAAAGACAAAAAACGATTGAATTAAAAAATTACTTCAAACATAAACATTCCGCTTTTTCTTCAAAAATTTTTTAAAAAATTTAATCAGTTGCAAAAAAGAAAATTAAACTAGGCAAGGACACGTTTCAAAGAAAAGACGCTTTTTCATTTTTAAGCATTCGAAAAGTGTTTCGTAAAAAGAGTAAATGTAAGATCTACAGTTTTTTGGAGCGAAAAATGAGATTTCAAAAATTACAGACAATTTAACCGACCTTCATCATAAGCCAACCAAGTTGATTTTTCGAACTCTTCCATAGGACAATAATGTCCCTCATTTGCGAAAAAAAAGTTGCACTCCAGGAAAATGTTTGCCAAAACAAGCTATAATTTTTTGTGGCGCCCGCAGTGGTAAATTCAAGAGTTAATCGGCCAAAAATGAGTGTTTCAAAATATTACCAAAGGCAATGGGGCAAATCTTTGAGGTGAAGAGGAGTGCCCTGAATATAATACTGAAAATAGCGAAGCTTTGTATGGGGTCAAAACATGAACCTGCATGGGATGTTAAATATGGAAATGTGAATTACGCGATGTCGAGTTGTCCACGATGGTTCTGTATGGTAATTTCGTTTGCCGTATTTATCCATGAACCGAACTTCAAAGTGCACACCTGGGCGTCATAGGGGAAGTGCCTGAAAACAACGGCAAAATAGCTAAATTGAAATGTTTCAAACGATATTTTAAGTAGCAGAAAAACTACAAAGTTATAATCTTTCATTTTAAAACACTTGAAAAGATTGAATGGCTCAATTTGCACGGAACTTTAATATAATATTCTGGTGAACTTTTTTGAAGACAATTTTCGAAATCCTTCAAAATTTGGTAATACGAAATTTTTATATTTTTATCTTTCTTATCTACCAAATTATTCATATATTCAATATTCATATATATGGGGGCGGATCTAGGATTTTCTGGAGAGGGGAGGGGGCGGATTTTTTGGGACGCGCTCCCTTTCAAAGTTAGTATATATTGCTGTCTAAGGCGCTCATTAAAGAATTGAAGAATCTGATTATCACAGGAAAAGCATGTCATGAAATAGATGTTTTTCCTGCGATAATCAGATTGTTTACTTTTTTTGAGATTAAAATGAGATTGGATATTGATCAAATTGGATTTTAATAATCTGAATATTGGATATTCGAATGGTGGAATATCTGAAAATTGGAATGTTGGATATTGATCAAATTGGAAAGTCACATTGGATATTGACCATGTGAATATTAAAGGCTGGTCATCTGAAATTGATGATTATATTTTAGGGCACTATTTGGTCTCTATGGCATAAATGGCCCCCAAAAATGAGCTCATATATCTCACTTGATGTGTATGGTGCATGTGGTGACGTATATGACGGGTGTGTCCCACTTGACATATCCCGAGGCATTGATGGACACCGGGATCACCCCGTCCTTCTCCACCTTCACCTGAATCACACTGCAACAACACAACAAACGATATTCATGACATGAATAACCATCAACAAGTTAAAATCAAAAAAGTGTGTTAGTTTAATTTGTAACTAATTGTTCACAATAAAAAAGATGACTTCTAATCCAAAAGTCAGAATTAAGCTAGGCCATTTCATATATTTCAGTCCTTTGGAGGTGGAAAGGGCGAATTTTGTTGACCCTTTTCTAGCTGAACCCGATTAACTTTCCATGCTCTCCAAAAACACCCACCTAGATGTTTCATATCAAGTTGTCAATTTCAGTTGACAACACCTCCTGGCTCTTTTACAATTTCCCGTCCCTCTTAAAATGACAATACAAATTTGTTCAAAATTGCTCATGCGGCTTTTTTAAATAAAAAAATTGTTATTAGACTATTTTCACTCTGTCGTTATCACGAACATCAAAACTTTAGATTTATACACCAAAAAACCAAAAAAGGGGACTGTAATAGAGCCCACCTCCCTTTCTATTAACTGCTTCCATCACATTCTAAGTATGTAACTTAAATGCAAGTTATTTTATTGACGCACTTGTTGTATACAACTATGTCGGGCAGCCAGATGTGTTTGGGCATGATGGTGATTTTTTTCAGGCCCCCATAGTCTTCTGGATCCCACACTAGATACTTGTCAAACCAGTGCTAAAAAGATATACACAAAATAGAAGTGAGCGCAGTAGCGGGTTGGGGCATACGGACGCATGAAAGTGACTTTTCAGCTGTGATTTAAATGCAAAAATGTTTGGTAAAATTAATGAAAAAAAAAGGTATGAGCTTTTTCGTTCTTTAGACTAATTTTAAGACTTCAAATAAGCACCGACACATTTTCGTATGAATTTGATCTCTGCTTAAACCAACTAGAACGCTCAAAAAATCATCTGATAATTTCGTAAAATCTATAAAAAAAACTTTAAGAGTACACTACACATTCATTGCCATTAGACTAGTTACATATAGATGCAATGAAAACAGATACGTGAGCTCGCTTTTCTCGAGAAACTTTTGCGTCGTTCTTTACTTTTGGCACAAAAGATTCAGATATATTCTTGTTCTCTTACGAAAACAATGCTCTGCATTGCCTGTGCCCTTATTAATTAATGTTCTGACTCCCCGTAGTTTATAGGTCATGTGAAGAATGAATTGAACCTAAGATTTGTTAGTATCCTAGAATATTTAATAGGAAGAATCAATTTTTTGGCTAGTTCTATCATAACTCCCACTCCCAGTCTATCAACTAAAAGAGCCCCATTGTTATTATTGGGTGGCGAATTAAAGGGGCAACTTTTAGCTAAGGAAGACTGAAAAAGAAAACATTTTCATGACAAGAACTTTAAAAATCTTGATTAATTAAGTAATATGATTTGTTTTAAAAAAAAATTAACGCAAACATGTACACACTTACTAGCATAGTTTGTGTATATGTGTGTGTTTCTTCTAGTCTTTTTTGTAGTTTGAAACAAAAACGATTGGCAAAACTATCTTTCAAACTAGATACGAAACCCTATGCAATTTTTGATAAGGCACAAAAAACTATAGGAATTGAAAAAAATTGCCTAAACTATTGGTTGTAATTCATAACGTTCCTTCAATCTATTACTTTTATTGAAAAATTTTTTCTGTATTTTGAATTTGATTAGTCTTCAAATTTTAGTGAGCATTTGTAGTCTTCGTTTTTTCAATTTCTGTAATTATAAGTAATATTTACAAAAGTTGAAAAACGAAGACTACAAGTACTCACTAAAGTTTGAAGACTAATCATTTTCAATATACAGAGAAAATTTTTCAATAAAAGTAATATATTGAAGGAAAGTTATGAGCTAATATCAAAAGTTTAGGCAATTGTTTTCAATTCCTATAGTTTTTTGGGCCTCATCAAAACTCATTTGTTACCAAAATTAGAATGATAGGGAAAGCGTTCCTAGATAAAAGTTAGCTAATGGTTAATTTTTGATATAATCCCTAAAAGTGGCATCTTTTCTTTGCTAGACACTATAGTACTAAAATAGATAAACCGGTCTGATCCAATATAATTTTATTGCGACTTCATGATAAAGTGGCTTTTTACTTCTCCATATCAATTCGTCCTTTTCTCTCTAAAATTCAACAAGAAAGAAAGCGCAAAATAACACAAATCATAAATGCTTCTCAGATCGTAGATCAAAAATTACATTGATCAAAGAGACCATGTTTCTTGAAATCGCTGTTTATCACCGACTTCTCGTAAAACGAATTATAAACAAGACTGCTCGTATCAGGGCAAAGCCCTGCAAATTCCGACTGTCTTTTAAGGTCTCTGGAGCAGTAATAACACGAAAAATTTAAATGTAATAAAATAAAACATATTTAAAAAAAATGAGATTTTTTGTCAAAACATCACCCACACGCCATATTAAGTACAAATTGATAAAATTTGCTCCTATTGCCAAATCAATTATGGCATATAAGCTTCCTTGAGCATTTTGGAACAATTTGTAAGATCGCGCAATAATTGTCCCGAATTGGCCATGGCAATCTTTAAACCCCCATAACAAAAAATAATCACAGGTAAAATATCTTTTCAAATTTAAGCTCACCACAACAACAGTTTTCAAATGATTTTGAAAATTGCGTCAAAAATGGCTAGTTAAAAAGCCGAATTTTGTATGAAAAAAAACCCCACCATGAAATTTGTCTGAAAAAAAACCAATAAATTATTGTGCCGACCATTAAAAATGTGTAATTTTTGTATTCCGGTGTGATTTAATTTTTTGTTCCGATCATTGAAAATGGCTAAGAACTTTTTATTAGGGTGTGTTTTAGTTGTTTTTTGTTCCGACCATTGAAAATGGATAGGAACTGATCCGACCATTGTGAACGGGTAGGAATTTTGTATTCGGGTGTGTTTTAGATTGTTTTATTTTAGTTTTTCACGCAAAGTCAGGCACCAAAAATGGCCATTGGACTGGGCGGAGTAATTTATCATATTAAAGCCCTTAGAGTTGTGATTCGAACTACATATAAAAACTTCAAAAAAACGCAGTGGCGAGAAAAGTATGAATGAACTTTTTGATTTATAAACCTATTTCGAGCAATTAAAGAGGGGTTTTTTCTAATTTCATTTTGAGAACCAAAATTTTCAGAAAAATAAAACATTTTCTGCATAACAAATTGGAAAAAAGTTTGAATTTTTGAAACTTGTTTTTGGTTTTTTGGTTTTTAGTCATTTTTCTGTAAAATTTTTTGTCCATATGGCCTATTTCAGTATGAGTGTCGAAAATGCCTTAATCACAGTTATACATCAGATCCTTTTATCCCACTCTGCGGGAAAATCTACACTATCACACTTCTTTGTAGTTTATAAAGACTGGTCGGAACATTCTGTGCTACTTGCACAGTAACCGGCTATCCTTGTTTTTTTTTTCGTTTTCAACGCAAAATCAGGTATCTCAGCTAATGATTTGACTGGGTTCAGTGATATATCATAATAAAGTCCTTTCAGTCGTGATTCGAACGACATTTAAAAAATTCAAATTTTTTTTCGCAATGTTGAAAAAAAACGGTTTGAAACTTCTGATTTTTTGTCCAATTTAGAGCGCATATTAGTAAATTTAAGGCTTGAAAATGTAGTTTACTCAGATGAACTTAGTTTTTTGGAGTTTTTAGCTTCATCTTAGGAATCAAAAATTTCCAAGTTTACTAAAACAATTTTGAAAAAAAATTTAAATGTTTTTTGGTTTTTTTGTTTTTCTTGTAATTTTTCTTCAAAAATTGTTTTCCAATTTGCATATTTTACAATGACTGACAAAAATGTCGAAGCTCTTCTCTTCTTTTTGTAAACTTTTTTTTGTTTAGTTCAAACAAACTGATTTACCGAGCTCTCCAATGTCATTATACTCAAAATTAGGTTATATTGGTTCCAAAGGCGTCTTTAGAAAGACTTTAGGGTCGGTCGGCCAAAAATAGATTTCTTAAAATAGTACCAAATTTGGGACGCTTTGGGCCGCAATGGTTTCGAACTCCTCATCATCTCCCTAAATCCGCACTGGTTTTAACCAAGAAATGGGAAAGATCTTTGTAGTCTTATGTTTTTCTCCACTTAAAATCAGGTCCTAAAAAGACGTGTTGTTGTGCAAAATCAAATGATAGTTCATAGTGAATGGAATGCCTCACAAACGCCATTGAACCAATATTTGAAACTTATTTAAAACAATTTTTTGAAATTCAAGAACAACTTTATTTTTTACTATTCAAACAAATTTAGAGTAAAGAACCATTCGTCACTTCGACGACTCGCAAAAGATTTCCATTTTAAAGAGAGTAAAAGTTTTGTAGTTATTTATTTAAGCAGGAAACATTTACTTTTGGCAGCTTTTTCCAGCGCCCTCCATGCGCCGACAAAAAATTTTAAAATATTGAATAAAAATAAAAAAGTGAAAAATAAGAGTTTATGTGCTTTTTGTAATATTTTACAAGTAGAAACTTCTCTGCTATTTTCACTACTGTCAGCTGCTCTTCATGTTTATTTTAAGATTTTATAGCTAGTAATTTTAAACAACTAACCAGTCGCTGCCAGTAAAGAACTGTTATCTGCTCTTGCTTGACATCCTGAAACAATGAATGAGCTACAAAAACTCATAGTAGGTATAGCTCGTATAGCGTTATTGGATACTTTTAAAGCAAATAGTTAATAAATGGCAATTTTTAGTTTTGATTAGCTGTTGCAACGACTGAAAACATACGATGATGCTGGGAAAATCTTCGGGTGTTTTTTTTTTTTTTTTCTTGTCCATTGTAAGAACTACAAGTAGAGTCCGATTTGGGCGAGTGTCTAGAAAGTTTTTTCAAACAATGAATTATCTTACCACATTTATGATTTGTTGTATGGCTAGGTCCACATTCACTATAACTGTCTGGTTATTGTCGAGTACTGGCCTGATAGCTGGGTTGTATCCGTTCTCTTCAAACAGCATCCGCATCAAATCCTTTGCATTTTCTATGGCACACAAATATAAACCTCAAAGTTTTCAATTGTTTGTCTAACGTGATTGCACGAAGAATTTCAAGTTTTCAATTAGGCGAGATCAGAGATCGATGTTCATTGTCGACCCCAGCGATGAAAATTTTGGCTCAAAAAGACCAGCAAAATCTAGCGAATGTTTTTGGCAAACCATCCGACAAAATATTAACATGTTGAAAGTTTGTCTCTAGAATCCAGGAATATACAGACGCAAAGTGCACAGTCTGGCCTCGTAATGAAACAACTTGTCAAAATAAATGTAAATTTTGACTTTGTATGTGGAACTTTTTTGAGTTTTTACAATAAAACGACGATTCCAAGTAACACCGCCCCTCCCACATCAGGAAATCGAAATCAATGCGACCCAAAGGGAAGGAACCTTGGGGTGAGGCTGATGCCAAATTATTGAGGTACTGAAAATTAGGGCACTTCTTTACGGCATTCACCTTGGGTCAACCAACCGTAACATTTTATAAAAAATTATATCGGCGCCAAAATAATTACTATTACTAAGGTGGAGCATAAAAACTTTTTGGGTCGCTTGAAAGAAAATTATCCTAATTTTTAGAAATGTGTGATATTCATAGAAATATATGTCAGTATTCGAATTTATGCTGTACTTACTGCTGGCTCCAGCATCCTGGACGCCCAATGAGACCATCGAAAACACAACCAGGTGCAAGTAGCAGCAAGTAAACAGAACCGAAGAAAAATTCATCTCTGAAACAGGTATCCAATTCACGCAAATGTTCGAACTTGGTCAACTTGGTCTACAATTTCTTGATGTTATATAATATTTATTAAGAGTCTCGGTAAAAATGAAAAAAAGACAAGGGTCGTTTTGTTGTATGTCAAAGAATGCCGGACCACCAAAAATAATTTTAAAATCAATGAAGCAAAAACACTAAAAACAAGTAGTATGACGTTAATACAGTGCTGATTTAAATTAACCGGACAAAACGCGTTGAAGTTGAAATTTAAAACCCGTTTTTCTCAAATTGGGTTGAGTTTAGGTGAAAACTTATGAAGACAAAACTTGCTTAAAATTTTAGCAGAGTTAATATGGTGTAATTTGTTTTGCAAAATTCGGGCCCGAAATTTTACCCCAAAAATGGGTCCCATTGGCTTTTCTTAGTTAATCCAAAATTACGCCGAAAATACCCAGTCGATCACAGACATAATTATACCAAAGTGAGACCATTACGTAGCCCAACAAATTTTAAGAAGGGTATAATCTCCAAACTAAGAAAAGCCAAAAGGACCCATTTTTGGGATAAAATTTCGGGCCCGAATTTTGCAAAACAAATTACACCATATTAACTCTGCTAAAATTTTAAGCAAGTTTTCACCTAAACTCAACCCAATTTGAGAAAAACGGGTTTTAAATTTCAACTTTAACGCGTTTTGTCCGGTTAATTTAAATCAGCACTGTATAACCTTCTTAGTTTTTTTCTGACTTCTTCGTTTAAGCCTGAATTGTCAATGTAGGAAAGAAAGAACAATCTTTGGTGTAAACTCGCGCCTTTTTATGCTTATAAGCAGGTGGAAATGCGAATAAAATGAACTCGTTGTGGCTGTATATTTGAGCACATTTCGATAACTTTCAACTTAAGTTTGATGATATCATCTGTCGGTCAACTTTTTTCTAAACACGATATAGCCTAATAAAAAATTCTAAACTGATACGTAAATTTAAGAGCATTTCGAATGGTCTGTTTTTGAAGTTGTTGTTATCTATATATTTCTTGCTAATCAAAATTCAAAGCATAAGGACTAATGCATCAAGACAAGTACGTGACTCGCATTTGATCAACGAAAACTTTTTCATCCCAAATGCTAGGAGAATTTTTGATTTATTTAAACAAAAACACATAAAGAAGATAAACTTCAAAGAAACTTTCACGACCTATTCTGATTGATGACCGAAATAAAAAAGATATGACTATAAAACGATTCAGAAGATCGCTAATTTAGTTCTGAATTTTCGAGATCCATTTGAGCATTAGTGAAACCTGGGTAGGTGCTTTAAATTTTTTATTAAAACATGGCCACTTTTCATTATTGACCAGAAGAAACTTGTTCTTCGCAGAATTAAAAGAAAAAAGCTACCGTAAAACAAATAGTTTAACTCACCAAAAGAACAAATAGCTTACCCAGAGAAACGTATGACAGAGGTTTGAGCGTTTTTTGTCAAATTGTATTTTCAATGTTGTCGTTATGATTAAAATCAAACATTTAGCGTATAATCAACGTGTTATATTTGCCGTATAGTCTAAAAAGTATAGCGTATAATCAAACAGAGCATAAGAAAAATGTTGCATGAAAAGTTCGCCTGAACAATCTTCTATTTAAATGAACTATTATAAGAGTTTCCAGTGACTGAACAACTAGCAAAGAAAACGGTTCCAATGAACTATTATAAGAGTTTCCAGTGACTGAACAACTAGCAAAGAAAACGGTTCCATTTTTTTTCGATTTTTTTCAAGACAACTTTTATTTTTGGTAAACAAAAAAAGATTTTTTTTCCATATATCAAGTTCTTTTCTGGGAAATTTAGTATATATATTGAAACGGAACCGAAAATATCAAAATATTCTACTTTTTTCCGACATTCGTAACAAAAATAACGGAATATTTGTGCTCCGGGTGGGTTTTTTTTCTTCAGACAAAATTTTTGAATGTTTAACTAGCCATTTCTGACGGGATTTTTCAAATATCATTTAAAAGGTCTTATTGTCTTGATCTTAATGTTTCACCTGTGATCATTTTTCGCAAAGTTATGGGGATTTTAAGATAGCCATTTTGGCCAATTTGGGACAATTATCGTGCGATATATTTCGCGCAATTAACGCGTAAGCGGGTATTCAATCCGTTTTAGAAATCGTTCCAAATTGGTTGAAAGAAGCTTATTGTTCCGACTTTCGAAAAAAAAACGGAATATTTATGTTCGGTGTGGTTTTTTTTATTCAGTAAAATTTCGCCGATTGAAGAGTTTTCGACAAAAAAAATTATACCCCATTGAACATATCGAATTCCTGAGTTCAAATGAAAAAATATAATTTACCTGCGATTATTTTTTGTAAGGTTATGGGGGTTTGAAAATTGCAAAATAGCCAAGTTTTGGACTGAATTATGCGCGCTTTGAAGAAATTAATGATCAAATTGCGGTAGATCAAATTGCTGAGAGCGTAACGGGAATTATTTGTGCATGGAGATTTATCCCGCACAACAAAATCGTTCCAAATTGAATTGAGGCTAGCTAATTGGTTGTGATATTTTCGTGCGGCTCAAAATTTTAAATTTTGATTTTGTCCAAAATTTACAGGTTTTCAATATTGTCTTTTCCCAAAAAATATTCGAAATGAATTAAGGGACAGTCGAAACATTCAGGGCTCTGCCTTGATATACGAGCAGTCTTGTATTTGTTTGGGCAAGGTAAGTACAGACGCTCTGCTCAGTAATTGACAATGTTCTACAAATTTATAATTTAAATTACAATTTTGTAGAAAATTGTCAATTTTATTTTGACCTTCATTTATAAGAGTTTTGTTGTTACAACTGTAACAACAGAACTCTTTTAAATGGAGGTCAAAATTAATCTTACGTTTAGCTCATTGAAATATTACATCAAATTTGAGACTAATATATGAAAAAAAAAACGATGGAAAAAGTTTTGAAAAGAGTTGCAGGCTGCTTTTGAAGTACCCTAGAGCTCCAAATTATAACTTCAATATCTATGCATCAAAACGATACTAATGAGAAGAAACATTTCGCAATGAGAAAAATTGTATGAGAAAACTTAGAGTTGAAATGTTAAAGGAGGTCATCAAAAAAGACAAACACTGAAACAGCTTGGTCTACAAAAAGAAATTTCTCAAATTTTTTGACCGTGAAAATACTATAAAATTTGTCAGTGCCCAGGTTGACCTCTCTACACCGAAATGCTTATCATACAATTCCATACAACAAAAATCATTATCATACAATTCCATACTTCAACTGTATGGAGAAAATGTTTGTCAAATAATTTTCATACATTTTCGAAAAACAATAGAAAAAAATTAAACCATTTCTGCGGTTTTTTGAGAACAGTTGAACAGACTTTAAATGTTGAACTGATTTTAAATTTGTTTGAAAAAAATACTGGCCATACAATTTCCATATACAACACAAAAGTTTTTCCAAGTAACTTTGAAAATTTGCCCCAAAAATTTTTTTGTTTTTTTTTCAAACGCAAATCGAATTTTGTACGCAAACAAACATTTTCCGAAAATTTTTTTTGCATGCAAATTTTAATTTTTTGGGTGCATAACGTAGTCCTGGATACGGTAATGTTGGCTTTTTTTCTTTTCACTTAATTGTTTTTTATTCAAAAACGCTGAAAATTCCTGTTTCTTTTGTATGGCGTGTTTATGTATGCCTTGATCAATGTCTGATAATTTGAAAATTCACAAATTTAAAATAGTCATCATTGAAAGATTTTGCCAAAAATTAAAAGTTTATTACTTTTGTTATATCATTTGTGAAAGACAGCTCGAAGACATTTCAGGTCGTTTTCTATGCATTGTAAATGGAAGACCGACCAGCCTTTGGTGCTTTCAGTAACCAAGTCTTTGTCACTTGTGTTCGGTTGCAAACACAATCGAAAATTTGCCAGAAAATAAACTACTCTTTGGTTTATGGCGAAAACACCTATTATACAATTTCCATTTATGGGAAAATCTTTATTATAAAGATTTCATACAACTTTCTGCACGTATGGAATTGTATGATAAGAAATTTCCCATTGTATGACAAGCATTTTTGGTCAACCCGGGTGATTTGTCACTTTTGGTGATTTTTTTATTCACTCACGTCTTATAATAATCTCATCTTGCTTACTCTTATTCCCAAAACAATCGTGTTAAAAAGAATCAGTCTTAGCAACAGTTACCTTGAGCGTTGATGGAGATTAAATACGCTTCTAAGACATTTTAAAACAATTTTAGCTGTGATAAAACTGGTTATGTAACAAAAAATAGACACGTCATAAAGTTGACAACTACTATACTAACCAATCAAAACCGAAAACAGGAAGCAAACTTAGGAAATAAATATTTATTAATTATTTATTTCCTTAATTTGCTTTCTGCTTTATGAAATAAAGGTTGTCTACTTTTTGACCCCAGTCCAATAAAATTAGATTTTGTTGGTTCCATTGCATAGTCGCTTGTCAAAAGACTCCATTACCTCAAATTCAGGTTTTTGTATTCAGCTCCAATAACTTGTTTTGACAACAGTTATCAATAAATAAGTTTCTGTGCACCGGTGGTATCTGTCACGCAAGATTTAAACGATCGTTCTTGTCGATCATTTGAAACCGGATCATAGCCATTCTAAGAAATTGGAATTATAATTACGGATCTCTTAAGATTTGTAGAGGGGGAGAAGTATCCATACACGAGGAGCTGGATTAGTCTTTGGCATGGATTGATATCCGTTATTAGGTTTCATTGATGGGGGTTCTTAAGAAAATCAAATCATCTAACCTTTCATTTGGAGTTTTTTCAAAGATCCACAGAGTTAGAGAGATCATTAAAAAAAGATAATTGTCCTGTCTTAAAAGAAAAGTATTTTAAAAATAATTTCAAGCGGTCGAAACTGAATTGAATTACTAAAACAAGGAATTGTATTGGGTTTTACTAAGCATTTTGACAAGTCTTCTTTCTTAGTAAACCTCGTTAGTAAGAAAAATAGTTTGTTAAGTGTTTACTAAAATAACTTGTCATGTATCTCTATCACAGTCAAATTTCCGCTTCTGTTTTCTCACCGTTTGATACCACTCGAAATAATACCCATATGCGAGGTGCATTTTCTAACCACCCGTTCGTCAAATCCTTCCCTTTAGATAATGAAATAAAAAATGAATGTGATCAAATTTGAACACCATTTGCAGACGGGCTCTTTATCAATTCAATTTAACTAAACAAATTAAATAGCGCGACAGGAGGTTGTTTCAATTGATTCTCAATGAATTTTTTATGCTGCAATTTCTTTGCCTCTCTTGGTAAGAATTTGTTGATGGAAGATGGTCCCCTCAAGAGGCACCCTCACAAAAAACTTGAATTTTAAAATCATGTTCTGATGAAAAAAGGGTTAATTTTTTCAGATTTTTTAATTTGTGCTTTCAGATTTTTTAATTTGTGCTTTCAGATTTTTTTCTCGAAGATTTAAAGTTTGTTGTTTTGGCATTCTTCTCGACGAGTTGTTCAGGTTATTTAATTTTTGAAGTAGTGAGGGATTTTTGGTATAAAAACCTTCTCCTAAAAAACCCTAGAAATATTTCCGTTTATTTTTTCAACCGGTTTTCAATGAATTTTCTAAGTTTAACTTTTTGCTTATACGCGGGAATTTGTGAAGCTGCAAGGGTCCCCAAGAGAAAACCTAAAGTTTTTTAAGTAGCTCCTTCCAGTAACTTTTTAATTATGTTTTCAGGTTTATCTTAGGCAAACGTGGGAGTTCACTAGTATTCGCGGATTTCTCTGAGAGAGGCCTGAAAAAGTTCCGGATTTGTCGATTTCAATAACTCTCAATGAGTTTTTCAGACTGATTTATAAAAACGCCTAAAAAGGTTTAAAATTACCTGATCATACTTTAAGCAAAATTCCAAATTTTTGAATTTGCGTTTGAGTAATTTTGTCAAAATATGCGAAATGAAGCTTAGAGTTTTCATTGTTCTCGTTTTCATTTCCTCCTAAAAAGATAAATGAAATTAATCCTTGTTTTCGGGACAACTGCAAAATTGGTTATTATATTTTAGCAAATGTTAATTTCAATTGATGTGCTGATTCTCTAGTTCATCGTTTTGGTGGTGTTATTCTTGATTTTTAAATTTTTTTTAAACTACACCGTTTTCTACTGTTTCGATTTCAAAAACTATATATGTTTATCATCAATTTAATAAAAATCTACTTTTTTTTAGATTTATGGTTTTCATCTAGTTTTTTTTGTAATAAATCTAGTTTTTTTGTGTATTGATTTTTGGTTAAAAAATTATCAAATTTATCAAAAACTTCAAAAATTATATATGTTTATCATCAGTTCAATATAAATCTACTTTTTTAAATTAAATTTAAATTAAAATGAAGAAAAATTTCGCTCAGATACGTTATTACATTTGTACCACACTTCTGCACTTGTTTGATTGTGAGCCTGAAAACAGTCTATGATTTTCTAGATAAATTCCGTCCCTTTGAGAGAAATTGGACAAAAATTAGTTTAAACTCATCGAGGGTGAAGGTGGTGGCGGTACTTTTTAAGCGCTGATTTCTTCGCCACACGTTGCTCACGCTACATCTATGAAAATAACCTTAAATGGATATAAAATGCACACGAATTTAACCATCAAATTGACACCTTTAAAAACATTTTGGAATAATCGTGCAAGTTTTTCAAAAAAAAAATTCGAGAAGTGTGAAATTCAGGATAACTATAACTTTTTACGAGAGTTTACCAAATTATGCTATAATGAAAGGCAACGAGGAGTATTTGTGAGAAAAAAAGCTCTTCTCGGTATCATTCATCTTGTAAGATTCTTGTAAGGTTTTGCACTCGTGTTGCAAGATTCTTTTTTTTTAGATTGAAAATTTCCGACTAACTTAGTTCTTTCAAGTTTTTTGCAACATTTTAGCCAAATTTTGCAAACCGATTTGAGAATGCGAGGTTTGGAAGATATGGTTTTGATTTGCAATAAATGAACAGAAAAATGTGTTCATTTTGCAATATTCTTGCAGGGTTTTACAATAATCTTGCATGATTTGCATTCCAAGTACACTAAGGCGATCACCTAATCTTTTTAATCGCCTAAACTTTTCCGGAAAAAACGGTGACTGGCATTAAGTTCCAGTGCCTTTGCAAGTCAGAATCGTACTAAAAGACAATAATCCTCACCAATTTCAAATTTCCTCATTTTTTCTGAGTCGGAAAGCGCGTAAACGTATATTTTCCAAATCTAGAGCTCTAAAATTTAAGATAGTTCAAAAGTTCTCCAGCTTTCTGGTATTATCTTCAAATGGACTGTTAATAAATTGGAAAAATAAACGGCTGGACGCTGGGGTAAAAAACGGCTGTGGAATTATGGCCGAGATTTGTTGAAAACGAAGGTGCCGATTAACTTCTAATCTCCCAAATAATTGCAATAAACACAATGGATGCCGAGCAAATAAAATCGGTTTTACTATTCACAGAAAGAGAAGAAATCAATAATTTAGCAGATTGTGTGGATTCGAAAGTAATTTTTGCTATCACTCCTGTAAGGTTTTCAACTGTAATTACACCATATAGGTACAATAAATTTAACATATATAATTTTATTGAATTGTGTAGAATGTGTAGGCTATATTCATAAAGTCAGAAATAAAATTTCTTGAGGCAAAAAACAAACTAAGAGACAAGAGAAATATTTTAACCCTCGTTCTACGATCTATAAATGAACCAAACTTGTGAGTAGTTTCAGGAAATAAATAAATATTATTTCAAAGAAAATATCAGAGTTTGTTCATTCCCGAGCGCGGGTGACTATCGATATGAAAATGGCGTTCAATCGCTCTAGCAAAAGTAAAAGGACGATGACGTAAAAATTGGGATATCCAGCAGAAAGAAGATGCTCAATTCAATGGTCTCAAAAATAAGCTAAAAGCACAACAAAACGACAATATTTACCATTTGGTATCAAATAGAACTCGTTTGAAAAAAAAAACTGAAAGCGCCGTTTAATTATATTGGGGTTGAATGATCACATAATTGTAACATGGTGTGTGTAACAATTGTAACTTGGTGTGTGTCAGGAAGCAAATAAATAAATAATTGGAGAATGTCTGAAGGAAATAGTCACAGGATTGTTTACTTGACTAAGTATGAAATATGCGTTCAAATTGCACTGGAAACTTTGATAGAGATCGTTCAAAGCCTTTTCTAATAAATGTTCCCAGGGGCTTTTTTCTAAACCCAGACGGTTTATTTTCAATTATGTCGTTAAACTGATTGTTCGGAGCAAATTCAAAGGTGCAAATGCAATGAGGTCTGAAAATTAAATTTAAAGCCTCGTTTTCCTTAAATCGTGCTGAAACCGATAAATATCATGAAGCCAAGGTCTAATCAGAGCGGTTTGGTCAAAACCTGGCAAAATTTCAGAAAAACTGGCAACGCTAGCCACTGTCAAGCAGAATTTTTGACGTTACTTGAGTGAAAAACAATTTTTTTTATTTCTGGAGACAAATACTTAATTTCTAATCTAAATATCTGAAGAGATTTGCATGGTGAAAATTTTTGAATTTTGCCAACAGCTTGCATAATGATGAGAAACCGTTTTAATACTAATCTACTCCGTTAAAATGCTATTTTCAGGGTTTTCGAAACCAATGTATGTGCTACGCATGATTAGTCATTTTCCATACAAATCATGCATGGATGTGCATGGTTGCGCATTATCTTCTATGGTGGGCAACCCGGGACATTCTTTTTGAATTGTTGAAACAAAGCAGGGGTTTCTTAAATTTATTTATGTCTGGTTGATCATATTTCTGATCAAAAAATAGCCAAATCTAGGCTCATTCTTGCTTGGGGCTCGTACCCGGGTTGAGGTGCTCACTCAATGTTTCGATCGTCTCGACCGAAAATCGGTATGTTTCAACGCTCTCGACCAAAGTTCGGTATGTTTCGACCGTGCTCGACCGAAACAAATGTACTCGACTGTGCTTGCCCAGAAAAAATGTAGCCGACCCCAACAAGATTTTATTCAATCTTGCTCGACTGAATTCAGCTATGTTTTGACTTTCAAACAACATGAGTTATCCACTTTTAAACGTTATCATTCATGCTTTTCGGGTAACATATTGAGATGATTTTTGTCAGAATTAATTGATTAAAATTATTTGCAATTTAAATGTTTTGTAAAAAAGATTAACTGTTTTTGAGCTATTTTCTTTCATCTTCTGAAATACTGTTGTTATTTGAAAAATTATTCTCTATGCCTCCAAATTACCGCGGGTAAATCTGCATTTGTCGACCGTGTTCGAGGTTTGTTTCGACCGGGCTGGAGGTATATTTCGATTGTGCTGAAGGGTATGATTCGACCGTACTCAGAGTATGTTTCGACCGTGCTCGACCATGCTGGAGCTATGTTTCGATCGATCTTGCTCGAGGTATGTTTTCATCCTGCCATAGGTATGTTTTGACCGTGCTCGAGGTAAGTTGTGACCGTGCTCGAGCTACGTTTCCAAGTTGCGCTCCGCCCAAACCCCAGTCTCGGCTATTCTTTTTCGATCAAGCACAATCTTGCACTCGAGTTTGAAAGTCATAACAAAGAATGAGCACCTCGTTCCGGAAACCCTTGATCTACCGTTATCTAGACGTTTATGTTAACAGCTCGGCCACATGTCCTGCGATCTTGAATTAGTAGCAACCTAAATGCATAGTAACACTTGTTTTAACAAGTGTTAATTTGCATTGTATTGCTGTGATTTTTGCATACACTCAAAAAATGTATCTCGATGCAATTGAGCAGTTCTTCAGTTTTAGAAATATTTTCCAGAAATTGTATATTTTCAATGTTAGATGAGAAATTTTTAATTTCTATACAGGAAACACTGAAAATTAGTTAGTTTCGCTTTAATTTTCCACCCAGATTAAAGGCTTTTGTTGAGTAAGGGTGTGATTCTCAATGATCAAAGTCACATGTGTTTCTTAAAACTCTTTCCGATTTTTCTTGATTTTGATTTCCATTATATTCAGAAACTCACATCCGTGAAGCTAAAAAACACTAAGTTGCTGTAATCCTTTCATTGCAGACTGAATTTTCCAGCATAAGCCTACTCATGAAAGAGGTTCTAGAAACATATTGTTTTCTACACAAATCATCTACATAACCATAGTTTCAAAGAGGATTTTTTTTTCAAACAAATTGTCTGACTTTAAATATTTTGATTTTTGGCAGTTAATTTTCATTATGCAAGAGATCCTTAGAAGTTTTCTTTTCATCAAATGAAATGTGTTCATAATCCCTAACTAGACTTAAACTTCGACTTAATCAGAGATACATTATTTACTCCTACTTCATTATTTACGCACACTAGAAAAACAAACTAAAAAATAATCAGTCTTTAATTTGTGTCTAATAAACTACCTGTACTCTAAGTCAGCCTGAGTCTTGTAGATTGATTGACTGTTCTCCAACCCTGATCGCAACTCAAAAACCTTACATAAGATCTGCTTAAATTGAAGCCACAATTTTAAATAGTGCACATATTGAGAGAGCGTCTAATAGCTCGCAGGAACCCTTTCATAAGCTCCTCAAGCGTAGTCTTGTTTTGGATACACGCGTAGCATAAAAACTTTAAGCAATGCCACAAGTTAGATGAACGTAACAGTTTGAGGAACTACCCGGGTCGAGGTACTCGATTTATGTTTCATCTTTCTCGGCCCGTATGTATAGACTTTCTCAACCGAAAAACGGATGTTTGACCCTCTCGACCAAAAATCGATATTTTTAGACTTTCTCGACCAAAAATTGATATTTTTGGATTTTCTCGACTGTCTTGATCGACGTTTTAAAAAAATTTATTTGAACGGCCCCGCATAATAATTTTTTGATTTTCTCGACCAAAAAATAGGTATGTTTTGGCCGTTTTTAATCTCTCCACCGTCTCGTATCTTCGTCTGTTATAGAAACTTATAGTTCTACTGTGCTCGACATATGTTTCGACTGAGCTCGACCACAGTTTCGACCGTTCTCGACCTATTTATCGACTGTAATCTACCTATGTCAAACATGCATCTTTAAATCAAATCATTTCAATTTGTTAGACAATTTTTCAAATGCAATTTTTATTATTGGGGGGGGGGGGTGTTTGGGTTAACCTAAAAGACCCGACATTTTTTGACAGTGATTGATCTATTTTTTGACCTATGCTTAAATTTTCTTGACCAAAATTGGGTGTATTCTATGTGTGCTTGACCTATGCTAAGGCTGAGCTTGACCTAAATTTTGACTGTGCTCGACCTATTTTTTGACTTTCTCGATCACAATGGGTATGTTTTGATGTGCTTCTCCTGTGTTGTGACTTTCTCGACTTTCTTGACTATCAAATAACATGAATAACTTGACAAAAACTTAAAATGCTTGCTTTTCAGTTGATTTTTTGTGATGTTGCTTTAAATTTAATTGCAAACAGAAAGTGATATGCAATACTCTGGCATCGAAAACTATTTTTTCCGTATTGAATCTTCATTTTTGCTTTCTTACAAATCTGGACTAAAAATGTTGATCTGAAAACTGATGTTTGAGAGAAAACTTTAGCGGATGTTGTTTTTCCTTACCGCAGGAACCTTTAGATCTCGAAAAATTAAAGGGTTCCCTTAAAAATGATCTCCGCAAAAGATTATTGCTGATTGCAACTGTCAGACCGAAATATTTTCTTTGCCGTTTTTTTTTCTGTTTCCAATTGGAAATTAATGAAAATCTTTTAAAAAAACAATCGACTTATGTTTTGGCTGTGCTCAACCCTTATTCCGTTTTTCTCAACCAAAATCAGGTACCTTTTGACCTAGTTTTTGACTCTCTCTACCAAAATCAAGTGTGTTTTGATTGTGCTTGACCTGTTTCGACTTTCAAGACCAAATTTTGGTATATTTCGACAGTGCTCGACGTACGTTTCAACTCTCTCGACCAAAATTGGGTATGTTTGTCTTTGTTCTCGACTTAAAATTGCTTCTAGACCGCGGAATTTCAGCCGCAAAACTGCACTAGTTTGACTTTAAAAAATGAAACATAAGTCGAACACCTCGGCAATGGTAAAATATCAATGAGAAGCAAAATTGAATCTCATTCAACCAACAAAACTTTATTTCAAACATAAATCAAGAAGAAACCTTATGTTACACGATTACACGACAACTAGCAAAATAAGACGAAGTAACCATACTGCATTCAAAATGACATTTTTTAAAATTCCATTTCAATTTCAGTTCTCAAAAATATTTTGGAAAACTGAATAGTCTCAATGTTGACGTCTTTTTTTGGCGCTAGAAAGTAGATTTTCTAAAAATAACTTGCGTTACGAGATGCTGAGGCAATGTTCTTTTGGCAGAGATGTATTTATCCCAAAAAGGGGCTTGGAAAACCCCTAAGAGTTGATCTAATGGAGGTTAGATTGACTCAAGGTGGTCCTTCATGGATCACCTTCAGAGTCCCAAAAAATAGTTTGATTAGAGCTGATCCAATGAAAGCAATATGATTTCAAAAATACAATCAATTTTTCCCATTAAGTTACTCAAAAAACAACGAAAGAAAAATAAAACTTCACTATCAAACTTATAAAAACAAACAGATAAAGCTAAGAAAATAATTTTTCATATAAAAACTCGGAAATTCGTTTAAAAGACTTGAAAAAAAAACGAAATAAGCTTTGACACATTGTTTTTAGATTTGGAACTACAAAACAAAGTATTCTGAAACACGAGCAAAAAATAAAGAATTGAAATTGCAAAAATTAATTAACACATGATAAAATACCCTGGCATAGAGGAACCTCTAAACTCAGCAACAATTACTTCAGAGCGAAAAAGTTATTAATTGCTTGCAAACTGCAAGAGTTTACTTTTAACTGGAAAAGTTTTTCTGAAAAAAAAAAATGGCTTGAAACGATTTCGTCACAATTATTGAGAGCTTGTTTTTGATTTATCATCTTGCATTCTCGTTAAACTGGGTGTTATAACAAAATAATTGCTGCGGGAAGAGACAGCTCAAACGACAAGATCAGTTATTTAAAATAGCAGAGGAAACGCGAGGCACTTAGAAAAAGAGGTTCGGAATTTGAAAAAAAAGTTACTAAATAAATGGTTTCAAATCTAT